GCCTACTGAAGTCAATTTTACACAATATCATATTCGTTACCTATGATCTACCTCCTCATAGTACTTAGTGAAAAAAGTAATAAATTCGTTAGGCAGGAACGTCCCTTTGTAAAAACCATGCAGAGATTCAGTTGGATTATTTATGCTTTTCAAGGTTGGGGATACGAAACTGCCTCGGCAATTATTGATTCCATAAATTTTCCCACTATGGAGGTTAGGCTTATTGTCTATAGTTCGAAGCTAAAGGACCTGGTCACCTGTTTTGAAAATAGGTATCACATTTGCATTTTCCACTTATCTGGCACCATGCCAGTTTGTAGTGATATGTTGAAAGATTAGCGCCAAAGGTGTGCTAAGCTCTCTTTACATTCCTTCGAACCTTGCATACGAGTTCATCAGGGCCTGGGATTTGTTAGGTTTTATTTATCTTATTTGCCTAAGGACCATGGTCCTGGTGGACCCTAATAGTGCTACAGTTTATTATCGTCCTGTTTTCTAATAATTTATCATTTCTGGAATATCACTGGATCATCCTGTGTAAAACTGGAGAGGAAGTATGTAGTTAAAAAATTTCTACACATTTCCTATCACTGTCAGTGAGCTGACCGAGGAACTTTTGAGTGGGCCTATTTGTCCCTGTATTACTTTTGCTGTATACCTGAAGAATCCTTTTGGGTTAGGTCTTCGATTCTCTTGCAACTTTTAACCTCATAAGCTTCTTTTTGCTTTTCTAATTCCTTTTTTTTATTTCTCTCTTTAACTGAATATATCGATTTCTTAATTGACCCCTCTCCTCTTTTGATTTGCTATATATGCCCTCTTTTGACCAATCAGATTTTTTATTCGATTTGTTCATCATTTAGGATATTTTTGTTTGATCTGATTTCCCTATTTGGACATAATTTGAACATGAGCTGCTGGAACTATGCCTGGAAAGCATATATCGGGCAACCATCACATCCTTACCTGACCCTAGTCAGGTCATTCCAGTTCAGCCCACCTAAGTAATTTTTTCTGTCCTATGAAATCAGCCAAAGCGAAAGTCTGGGCGGAGACTTGATTGCATTTATTAGGGGAATTCCCATGTATGTTAAAACTGAGTGATTTGTGATCATCTCCCAAGCTTATCATTAAACTCAAGTTTATTAATTAGTGTTTTCCCTACTGGCAAGAACCATGTCAAGGAGGTTATTTCCCTAGTTGGCTCTGTCACAAACTGTTTTAAAAAACAATCCTGGATCGTATCAAGAAAGTCACCCGGACTCTATAATTTCCTGTCAAATTGCTCCAGTCAATCTGTCTATAGTTGCAAATACTCCCATTAGCACAATCATTTTCGTATGTAGATGTTACGAATTTCGTTCCCATAGAGTTTACTGCACACTCCCTATCAAGATTTGGGGCCCTGTAAAATCACAAAAATTAGTTTTTCTCGGCCCTCGAGAAGCTGTAACAAAACAGATTCAGTGGCTGACGTTCTAATTTAATATCTTGTCCTCCACAACAATTTAAATTGTCTCTGACCAGACATCGCTTACTCCTCCTCCTTTCCTGTGACCTGTCAAGTGTGGAAATAATTTATAGCCTTGTATGTGACATTCAGATGGCATCTCTCTATCTTTCAGATTGAGCCAGTCTCTGTTATAGTCAAAATATCTATGTTTCCTGCACTTGCATTTATTCTTAGTAATCTATCTTATTTTAACACTCCTGCTATAAGTATTGTAATACCTTAAAGGGGACGCTAGTCCCTTGCTGCCCTCTGCTGTCCCCTTTGTTTTCTGACTCTGTTATAGTTGTCTTTATTTATAACTTCATGCTGAATTGACTTTTATACCATTTACTGATTTCCAACCCTATTGGTGTTGCACTCCTGCTTGTTTCCCACACACACCCATAATCTATCTTCATCATTTAAAATCATAGGCATTTCATCAATGGCTTCTCTATCGAGTCTGCAAGTGCTACCACCCTTGCCCCAGAGAGATGAAACCCCATCCCTTGCATACATATCATGTTTGCCATAAAAGTTGTTCCAGTTGTCAATGAATGGGATTGCAAGTTCTTGCATGTATCTGTTAGCAGCAATTTTCACCATGCTAGACAAACCATTCATTCCTACTCCCCTTCTAGGCAAGTGCTACATATGATTGGGATCCCTCCCTAGACTTAATGAAATCTATAGGCTGACCTGTACTTATCTAGCAGCTCTTCTCTCCTACCTTCCCAATATCATTTCCAACAAGCACTGAGACAGATAATGGGCCTTGTTCACATTACCTGACATGATATTATCCAGTCTGTGACAATGTCCCACACCAGCTCCAGGGAAAGGATGCACACTCTATCTCTCATCTTCTTATTCCTATTACAAAAAGCTACGGTCAACATATCTTACCTGAGAGTGCACCTCAACCCATGAATGCGCTTACCTTTCATTAGCAGGTGGCAGTATTACCCTTACCTTCAATGGCCACTGAAGTACATTCATCCTGGGAAAGAGAAGCGATGTCCTACCTTCAGATCTTCACTCTTAATTTCCTTACTTGATTGCGCTCCCATTTATGTGGATAACACTCGACATTGTAGCAGTGTGCTGGGCTGCACCCTCACTGATGGTACCGTTGCTACCTCCCAACCTACAGCCTCCTCACAGAGAGAGCAGACTGCACCTCACTGCTAGAAGCCTCATTCCTCACATCTCCAACCACTCACACTCATCTCCCAGGCCCTTGAGGTGGACCTTCAGCCTCCTAATCTCCTCCTGGAGAAGCAAGACCCTCCTCCTTCACTCTCCAAACTTCAGTTTTTAAACACACTGCAGAAGCAAGGCCAGGCTTTGTAACCGTCCACGCTAATCCCAAGCAGCTCAGGGTCTCTGTGACTCACGTGCGATGACCACTGAACACTGAAACACGGCAACTGGTGAGTTGATATTCTTTCACAGTGCACAATAATATTCTTACCATTTTTTACACTAATGCAGTATTCTGATAACAGTACATCTTATATTTTTTGTTGAAGAATAAAAATTCAATGTGGAGGAAAGCAAAAGAATATAAGAGGGGCCTTGAGACGTGACTTAATGACAAGAGGAAATGTCATTTTAGTGCAGGAATGTCTTTCTGGTTTATTCTGGACCCTACTCGGAAAATGGGCTTCTTTTGAATTTGTATGAAATTGGCAAATTGCTAAATTCTGACCACTGTACTGGATAGTTGAATTTCATAAATGGGTGGTTTCTTGCACCCATTCGATAGAAAAAAATGGAAGTTCTAGGTGAATATTCATGTTTCTTTGTCGACTAGTCCAGTGGGGAATTGGCCGAAAATGGGGCTCAAAGTGGGCAAAATCGCCGATGCATAAACATCCCCAAGACCGCTAACTTCGCGAGAGCATAATTCCGTAAGTTTTCCATCAAATTTCAAACTTTTGGTGTCCTTATGATCGGGAAAAGAGTGTCTATCTTTTCATAAGAGAAAATTATTTTTTTTTTTTAAATTTGGCCGACCCTGAGAACGAGTTTCGGAGAGGGTCTGTCGACCCTCGAAGGGTTATTACCTACAAATTTCTGCTGCACACACTACCATTGCATTCTTAAATTTACTCTAAACTTCTTTGCAGCACTATGTGACCTTTGAGGGTTTAGTGCTTAACTTGATAATAATCCATACCACTTCCAACTCTTCGTTTTTGCTTATAGTCTCCCTGGCTCACATTTTCCCCACTAGTTGCGTATACCTTTACTCTTCTTAGCCATCTCCAGCTTCACTAATATTCCTCTTGGGTGGCATGATCAATATCCAGAGATCAGAAAATAATGAAAACTCCTAAATACCTTGAAAAAGCAGAGTGAGAGAGGCAAGGACATTTCCAGAATGCAAATGTAAGTGGAGTGGGTTCTCATGAGAGGGAAGTCATGTACTGTGGCATGTTGTAGCCAATAATTTTGTGAGCCATGATGGCAGCTTTGAGGGGACTTAAGCTAGAGTTCACCACAGCCACACTGGTGAGAGATTCATCTGGAAAAACTTGCATTTGTTGTCTGAGTGGTGGCCCATGCTAACCTCCCTGTGGTGTATAGAAATATACCTAGTTGTATTAATCTTGTTGTAACCAGTCGACAGTTGACCCAGTGGCTTATGAACTGACCTGTAGTTTTACGATTCACTTGCCATGGGTTCTAACCCCACCTGTTCTGTGGTTTGTAGCCAAATTTTGCAAGTAACTTAATACTATGGCGTGGTGTGCCAATATTTTGGACATTAGTTGACTAACACTTTACAGTATGTAATACCAAAATTTTCACACTATCAAAATTGTTGGTTTCACTCTTTCAACTATGCTGCAACAAAATCAGGCAGTGAAGTTTTGTTGCAAGAGGGTTTACTCCATTTATGTTGCAGTAGGTAGAATTACTTTTGATGAGTTTTACCCAAAATTTAAACAGTGTAAACTAAGCGCATTTAATATGACTCCCTTGACTAAGTCAAAATGAGCAATATACAAATTGGCTTGCAGATTAAGAAAACTCAAGGTAGGCAGAAATATAGAACATGCACTATAGAGAGAAGTATTAAAATATATAGTAATCAGTCTGTTTGTCTATCTCCCTATATATATATGTAGATCTTCTTTCTTTAAAGTACTCTGGATTCTTCATTATTTAAAAAGAGATGTGAGCAAACACTAGGACATGTTTATTAGAAAATCTACTAGCATCTGGTCACATCCCTCTTTCAACTGCCTGAAAGTAACAATTACCACAGTTTATACTGGATTCTTCAGAGTCAGGTACAAACAATGGTCAATCTGTGAAGATCAAATTTGAATTATATGAAAGAACTAGTAACTTGAGATAACACGTACTTTGTTGAAGATTTCTATTTTACTCACACATTTATGTTAGCATGAAGAAAAAGCTACTTTTCAAACATTATGTGCTCTACTACCTACTAATCTTCATGTCTACTACAGCAAGAGTCTACAGGTAAACTTACCTTCAGAGGTGACTTTGTAGAGGAGCATTTTCTTGGACTGGGAATGATGGAGCTCTTAGCAGGGCTTGCAATTTCCATTTTACTTGGCTGAAAAAAAAAATCCCTCTGATAATATAACAACAGAATTTTGTATTTTTTTTTTTCAACAAGTCGGCCGTCTCCCACCGAGGCAGGGTGACCCAAAAAGAAAGAAAATCCCCAAAAAGAAAATACTTTCATCATCATTCAACACTTTCACCTCATTCACACAAATCACTGTTTTTGCAGAGGTGCCCAGAATACAACGGTTTAGAAGTAGTATATACGTATAAAAATACACAATATATTATAATATAATATGTAATTATAATCCTAGGTAGTAGGTTGGTAGACAGCAACCGCCCAGGGAGGTACTACCGTCCTGCCAAGTGAGTGTAAAATGAAAGCCTGTAATTGTTTTACATGATGGTAGGATTGCTGGTGTCCATTTTTCTGTCTCACTACACATACATGTACAAGCATATATATATACACACCCCGCTGGGTTTTCTTCTATTTTCTTACTAGTTCTTGTTCTTGTTTATTTCCTCTTACCTCCATGGGGAAGTGGAACAGAATTCTTCCTCTGTAAGCCATGCATGTTGTAAGAGGCGACTAAAATACCAGGAACAAGGGGCTAGTAACCCCTTATCTTGTATATACAGTGGACCCCCGCTTAACGATGACCTCCCAATGCAACCAATTATGTAAGTGTATTTATGTAAGTGCGTTTGTACATGTATGTTTGGGGGTCTGAAATGGACTAATCTACTTCACAATATTCCTTATGGGAACAAATTCGGTCAGTACTGGCACCTGAACATACTTCTGGAATGAAAAAATATCGTTAACCGGGGGTCCACTGTATTACTAAATGTAAAAGAAGAAACTTTCGTTTTCTCCTTTTGGGCCACCCCGCCTCGGTGGGATACGGCCGGTGTGTTAAAAGAAAAAAAGAAGATGTAATTATAGTATGTAAAATGTAATCACAGAGGTAGGGTGAACCAAGAAAGAAGGAATGTCAGTACAAAATCGAAAGGCCAGCCATAATCCATTTACTGCGTGAGACGAACATCCATTTTCTCTAATGACAAACTCTCAGCCTTTTCAATTACTTCTGCCTCAAATGGATGCTACATTAACTTGAGCACTACATTGTCTGTGTAACAATCTAAAGCTTCTGCTGCTGTCCTACATATCCATCACAGTCTGGTTGATCTGGCACCTGGTGAAGATATTTGTCCAGTTTTCTCTTGTAGAAGCCTTCAAGAGAAAACTGGACAAGTATCTTCACCAGGTGCCAGATCAACCAGGCTGTGATGGATATGTGGGGGCACTGGACCACCAGCAGCACCAGCCTGGTTAACCAAGTAGGCACCAGACGAGCCTGGCCCGGGCTCAGAGAGTAGGCAAAATCTTGAAACTCTTCAAAGGTACCATTGTATGTACTGTATAAGTCTGGAAACCAACACAGAAGAATTCCTGAGATGTACAATAGACTCTTAACCCTTAAATGGTCCAAACGTATATATACGTTCATGTGCGTAGCGCCCCAAACGTATATATACGTTTTCTTTGTCATTCTTCAACATTACCACGATAAGCCTGAGTCACCTAGACATGAGTGAATGGGTGTGCGCACTCACTGTGTGCCATATTAAAATAATTGGGGATGCCTGGGTACCATATGCTCTTTTTTCCTTTTAACCCTTAAACGGTCCAAGCGTATATATACATTCACGTGCGTAGCGCCCCAAATGTATATATATGTTTTCTTTGTCATTCATTCAACATTGCCACGATAAGCCTGAGTCACCTAGACATGAGAGAATGGTTGTGCGCACTCACTGTGCACCATACTAAAATAATTGGGGATGCCTGGCCTCTTCACGGGGGGCTCCTTGGCATGGTGAAGAGGCTCTTGGTCTGAGGAATTAGCCCTGTCGGTCTTCTTCCTCAGACCGAACCTAATTACCCCCCATTCTCCCCTCCCCTATCCCATCCTCCCCTTTTTCCAATTCCTCCTCCTCACCCCTCCCTTTTGCCCTTCCTCTTTTTGGCCTTTGGGATTTCTCCCACAGGCGCGCTAGTTCCTAGGTAGGGGAAAGGACACCGGGGTCCATCCCATTCCGTTGAGGTTCTTGGCGGTGGCATAGTTTGCCGTGGAATCTGGATTGCCTGGGGATGTCCCGATCCCTCTCCGATATCCTGGAGTAGCTTTGGGTGTTTTTTCGACGACGGGTGTATCACGGGGAACCCCCTTTGTTTGGGGGGTGGGGGCCGAAGGGGTATGCTTTGTGGCAGATACCGGCCGCCCTCTCTTTTGTCCCCCGGGGTACTCGGCAGATGTAGTTGCTACCCCGGGTTTGCGGGTTTTACGGGCTAAAGGGGTAGGGTAGGGCACGGTTCCATGCTGCACTGCGCTCTAGCGGTGTTGGGTCCCTTGGCCGGGGGGAATTTCCGCCCTTTCTTTCCCTCCGGGATTTTCCTCCCCGCCCCCCCCCTTTTTTTTATTCTTTTTTTTTTTTATTTTTTTTTTCTTTTTTTTTTTTTTCTTAAAAACAAAAGCAAAGGAGTAACCTAACCGGGGCACCCTAGCCCCATAAACCCCCCACTCCCCCCGGGGCCCCTTCTTTTTTAACTGCACCCCATTCGGGACCCTTCCTTGTTTTAACCACTTTCGGACACTCCTGATCCCCTTACTCTTGCTGTGCTGTTTCCCTCACCCGCTTCAGGTCCCGGGGGGCTTCGACTGACCCCTTCGATTTGTCTGAACTCCCCTCCCTTTGACATGTTTCCGGCTTCTCCCCTTTCGTACGGCAATTTTCGAACACCCCCCTTTAAACCCGGGACCAACTCCGGCCCCCTACCCCCTAAACGCAACGCAATTCCTGATGATGCCCTTCATTACCTTCCCATTCTACTGGGGAAAAAAAGCCCGACACGTCAAGCACTCCCTCTCCACGCCTTTCGGACCACACAATGGACAAATTCTTTATTTTAAAGACCGATTCTTCTTATGCCTACCTTTCTGCCCATGTATTGGAAAGCCCCTCCTGCGTCATTTTGGGTAGAGATATTTCTTTTTTCAGCTCTAAAGAGCGGTATGCCATGTCACTGTCCAAACTACCAAGCTCAGATTTTCCTCCTTTTCGAATATTTATACTACTCCTATCACTATTCAAAAAACATCTTTTTTTCCAATTCTTGTAGGGTACTGTCATTCCCCCCAACCATAGTCCAACAGAATTTCCAGCATGGGCATACATTTTTAAACAGCGAACCCCAGGATCCCCAATCCTCAAAGTAGACACTTATGCCCTTTTCCGCCCGGGGGGGGAGACTTTCCCCCTTTGAAAATGTGGCCGTTTAATTTTTTGACACCCGGGAAAACTCCGTCCTCTGTAATGCCCGGGGGGACATGGTTACAATTTCAAAAGGTGATACCTACACCGCAACAATGAAAGAAATTGTGGTTTTTTGGGGTCCCCCACGAAATTTTGCAATCATGGCCGAATGTCCGTCTGTGGTGCCGACGACCATTCTAAACACTTCAGTCAACCCCACTTGTTTAAATTGTAATAAGCTCACCCTTCGTACTCCCCCCGGGGCCGGGTCACTTAAATGAAGTGAAACCCGTTGCCCAAAGGGGCAAAGGCCCCCCCCTTATGCTATGGCAGTTACTATCTCCCCCTAAGGGAGCTCCCCCGTTTTTCTTATTCTCGTGTTTCCAAACACCCCCCCATTTCGGGGAAAAATCTTCTGCAGCCTCCCCCTGTTTTTACCCCCCCCATAGCCATTTTGGCTTTAAATCCTTTTGTTCCCTTTTGGCTCTGACGCCCCTGACACAACTCAGTCCTGTTCTAGGGTTCCTGGTGTTTGATGAGAAAACCCTTAACGTTGCCATGAAACTTGGCAAATCTGGCCCTTTTTCCCCGAGGGCCCCATCATGCCCCTCGTTTCTTTTTTCAAAGTCTGCCAGAGAGTTAGTACCCTTGGGACTTTTTTTCTCTCAGAGAAAACATTTAAATGTCCCTTTTTACACTTCAAAAAACTGGAGGCAACCCTCGTTTACCTCATGGGCCTGGCCTGACGACATTCAATTCGTATGTTACAACTTTTACATGGGCAGCCCTTGTAGTCCTTTTACACCTCTTCAATCTATTTTGGGGACAAAGGGGTTTTTCCCCAGCTGTGGAAAAACTCCATTGTTCTCCCTTTTTTTCGCAAACCGGGGGACTCAGGACATGATGTCCCCCACTCGCCCCATCGCTCTTACTATGCATTTTTCAAAGTGATGGGAAAGTCCGTAAAATCGACGTTTAAATGTGGGGATTTAGAGACACACAACAGTCTCTCCCGAGTCAATATGGCTTTCGTAAGGGTCGTTCTACCATAAACCCCTTTCTACACTTGGGTACGTAGTTCAAAAGCCTTTTTCGAATAAACACTCAGTTATTGCCCTTTTTTTGACCTTTGGGGGCATAGACAAACTTGGAGGGGATAATATTTTGGCCCAGGCCCCCTTCCCTTTGGGCCCCTAGGCAATCTACCATCCTTTCCCTTTAAAACTTTTTAATGACAGAATTTCCCGGGTTTAAGTCAATAAAGTTTTTTTCCCCCGGGGAAAATTCGTCCAAGCCTGAAAGGGGTCCCCAGGATGTTTCTAACACAAAAATTCTCCTTGCTATAAAGATTTGGGTTGTTCTTCACCCAATATTTGGTCATCACTTTTTGTTGATGCTTGCTATTCTTGTGCGCGCTGACTGTCATCTTTTTGCAGTTCTCTCCAGCTTTGGTCGACCGTGTTTCCCCTTGGGCCACCCCGCATGGGTTTAAAATTTTTAAGTACCAAAAAATCACCCAAATTACTTTCACTAACGCCTGTTTCTCCCAAACACCTTTGTATCCTATGGCCCCGTATCCCCCAACGTATACTCAGGTTTTAGGCCCTTTTCTTTGCCCCGTTATCCTGGAAGCCTAATAAAACCCCTCGAAGGGAACTTGTACAGCTGGGTAAACCTTCTTTTAAAACCCCTTGCTATCTTTCTGGGGGGCTGATCGGAAAA